CTGCTAAATACTAGGAAGGCTTCCAATGCAGATGGGAGATGTCCCCACTGGACCCCTCACCTCTGTCTGGCAGTCTACCCTTCCACACTAACATTCCTCCATTCTTCCCTTCTAGGTAGAATCAGGTTGGAGTGCCCAGCTGTGTGTCTGTGGGTATGTGGCTTTTCCTCTTGGTGCCTCTGTTCTCTCACTAGCTGTGTGGGACTAATAGTAGCTATCTTAGGGGGCTTGTCCCAAGGGTTAACTGTCTGGCACAACTGGGCTGTGTGATACAAGTTAGTGATCATTATTATTCTTTTGTGGGTCTCTCTCAGGAGTGCCAAACCCAGGGCTCAGCATGGAGCGCCCACCAGTGAATACATAACCCCAACAGGTGCCACTCCTCGTGAGCACCTTCCACCTGCCAGGTGCTTCCCATGCCTGAGAGGTAACATCATCATCCCCTCTGCAGAAGAAAATGAGGATTCTGATTCCCAGAGGACACATCCACCTTGGAAGCTACTGAATCCACAGGCTTGGGGTGAGGTGGGTGGGGGGCGGTGGGGTGGACATTTCCCGGAAGATGCATCCTCTGGTGGTGGTGGTGGGGGTAAGGTCAAGGGCAGCATTAATCAGTGAGGGGTTCTAACAGGTGCTGTGGTGGAGCTTTGGCCAGGGTGATGGGAGAGAAGGGACTCAGAGCCGCTCCCAGGCTGCCTGACTCAGGACTGGTCTCCTTTCACTTTGAGCCTCAGTTTCCTTGCCTGTGACATGGATCTCTGGGAGGCTAGTTCTGAGGACTGCAGTGGGATGAAGCAGGTAAAGGGCTCGGCCTGGGGAAGGGGCTCTGCCCACCTGCAGCTGTCCAGGTGAGCTCTGGCTACCTGCGGGGTGCAGCATAGCATCCTTGCTCAGCTTCAAGCTCTAACCTCAGCCTCTGGGCTTCTATTTTAAGCCTTCAGAGAGTACCAGTGTCTATAGAAAGCCCTTCGGTCCAAAAGATGGGTCAAGCTGCCTTTGCACCTCTGAGAGGCACCCTAAGCAGCCTGCTTGTTCTGCAAACCCAAGGAGCAGCCAGGATGCTCCAGACTGGTAGAGTCTGTCCATCAGAAGTCAATGCTCAGGGAGGGACTCCTGGAACCCCACATGCTCTGTGCTCAGGAAAAGGATGCTTCCCACTCTAGCCTCTGGGGACCAGGGCCATGGTCAGCTATTACCAGGCCCACCAGGGCCCCAGGGAAAGAGAGTCCTCAGAGGAATTGTAACAATGACAGTGTCTTTCAGGGCCTGCCCGCTCTCGTCCATTCAATTCTCACCACTATGACCATGAGGGAGTGGCCCCTATCTTCCCTGCTTCATGGGGTTGGGGAGGACACTGGGCCACAGCACTGGGAAAGGGTGGCCAGACAGCAGGCTCTGACACCAGCTCTCTCCCTGCCTTAGTCCAGTAACCCCCAATTCTCATCACTGCACCCCACTGAGGGGAACATTCCTGCAATACAACCATCACACACACGCACAACTCAAGCAAAAGTTAAGATGCAAAAATACCTTACATAGGTCCACTCTACTTCTTTTTATATTTTGCCATTAAAGATCTTTTAAAAAATAAAGAAAAGAAAATCCTGGTGATGAGCCACAGTAGACAGAGCACTTTGGTGACAGGCCTTGTTTGGGGAGTTTGTGAGCTCTCCCTCTCTGGTAGCAGAACCATGCCTGCCGGTGATGGCGCCAGCTGCTCACCCTTCTCCCTGAGGGCACACTGCCCCCTCCATCAGGCCAGCCCCACGCCTGCACCCTGCGCCTGCATACATCCTCCCTCAGACTCCCAAGAGATGCTGGTAGCCCCAGGGTGACCAAGTCACCTAAAGACAGGCAGGAGACAACACTAACGGGAGCAGGCACTCAGGTATAGGTCTTTCAGAATTCACTTCTTACAGGAAGCCTTCCCTGACTCTCACAGCCAGGGGAAACAGAGAAGGGGGTAAAGTGTGCAACCACAGGAGAGTAAAGACAGGAAGTGACTTTCAGCCACTTCTCCACTCTCCCTCCACATCAGGGGGGCCTGTGCCCTCCCTCCTCCCTGGTGGGTAGGACCACACTGCTTCCCCTGCCTGGTCCCAGCCCCAGCCCTTGGCATCCTTGCAGCCCCTGACGAGGAAGAACCTTGGTCACTTTGAGAGTCTCAGCCCGGCTCTAGAAGTAGTTCTTTGCTGAGTCAAAGAAAGCAACTTAACTCTAAATCGGGGCTGAGTGGAAGGATGGAAGGAAAGCGGAGTGTCACTCATTGACCCTCTGTGTGGTCATGGGCGTGGCCAGGGAAGCCACTGGACAGGGAAGCATTATTTCCCCTGCTCAGATGTGCAGCCAGGCAGGAGCAGCTCTGGCCATGGAGGCTCAGCAGCCACAGGGCTCTTCCTCCAGCTCCAAAGGAAAAAGGGGGTCTTCTGGGAGTATAGCAGGTAGCTGCAAATGCATCCCTACACCAGCTGCTTCAACTGGGAAGACTGGTTCTCCTCTACACCCTGGGTACCTTTATCCTTGACCTCTTGGGACCTTCATTTGCTGCCCTGTAAAATGGGGCAAATGCCAGGTGCTTGGCAAATGCCAGCTCTCTATTTCAAGTCCCGCTCCTGTTCAGGGATGTTAATGAAGATTGAATATAGATTATGTGGGCATTGCTCGGTCAGGTCCATGGCTTGGTGCAGAGCAGGGTCAACCTTCCTCCCTCACCTCAAAGTTCCAGGATGCCAGAAGACTGAGCTAACACTAAAAAGCCACTGGCTTGGTCAAGCATGGACCAACTTAATGATTAAACCCAACCTGCTGTTTCAATTTAGTCTCTTCTCCAACCAGAGCTCCAACTGAAACCCAGAGGCACACAGGGAAGCAGTGAGAGTGCGCTGGGGAGGGAATTCCTCCTCTCACCCCTCATCATGGAATGCTGTGCCCTTAGCCTGTTTACACTTTTATTTTCCCCTTGCAAACCCAGGTGAGGACTAACAGAATGGAGAGCAAAGCACTGCATGGTATTTGGAAACAGGCAGGCTTATAAATACCAGTTCTGCCACTACCCATGTGAGCTAGGGTGAGTGTATCCACTTCTCTGTCTCAGTCCTCTCATCTGTAAAATGGAGCATGGTGCCCTACTTTGCAGAATTGAATTGTGCCTGGAAAGAGGACAGGTGAAGCACACAGGAGGAACAGGGAAAGAACAGGAGGAGCTTAGCAGAAGCGAAGTCCCAGGGCATTTATCAGAATAAGCAGATGCACTTTGCAAGAGCTGCTAAGGGGCTTCCCTGTCATCCGTCACGGAGGAACTTCCCGTCCCTTGGCATTTCCTTATTGCACACTGTAGCACAGCATGTGCACTGTGGGACACTCGGTAAATGTTATCTTAATCACCAGCCGGGAGGATACTGCATGTCAGAGGAGGAATGCAGGACTTTGGAGCTATATAAACTTGGATTTCGATCCTGGCTCTGCCAATGGGAAGATTCGTGTGAGTTGTGACAAGTCATTCTACCTCTCTAGGCCTTGATTTCTCATTCATAAAGTAGGGAAGATAATCCTTACCTTGCAGGGCTGTTGGGAGAATTTAATCCATTTATTCAATATCTATTTACTGAACCTTTACTGTGTATTAGCTCCTGCCTCACTCAACATTCAGACAGAAATGTACCTGAGGAGCCAGAGAAGAAGCAGCTAAGCACACACGGCATGTCACACGGTGGCGTGCACTGGGAGGAAACAGAAACAGAGTGAAGGGGGAGGGGAGCTGCAGAGCAACTGGCAGGCACTTCCCAGGAACAGAGACCCCAAAGGACAATGGGGAAGCCATGTAAAGGCCCAGGGAAAGAATGTTCCAGGCAGAGGGACCAGCAATACAGGAGCCTTAAGGAGATGCACGCTTGGCATGTAAACGAAGCCACATATGCAGGAAGCCTGGCATGGAATCCAGGTGCTCAGCAAATGCCAGCTCTCTATTTCAAGTCCCGTAGAATGAACCCCACGCATGTGTCCTTTTCCTGAGAACGAAAGCACAGGGATTCTTCAGGGCAAGGCTGAGCCAAGTGTGCTTTCAGTTGAAAATTCAGGCTCTGTGCGAGCTTCAGCACCAGGTTCTGAGCTCCTGCCAGGTACCAGGCTCTGGGATGGGCAACCAGGGACACAAGATGATCAAGATACAGGCTTTGTCCTCAGGGAACCCCAAGGAGAGTCCTAGAGATGACAGTGCACTGGGGTCAGATGAACAAGCAGAGCAACGGGACTGAGTGATCAGGGAGGGCTTCCTGGACAAGGTGACCTCCAAATTGGATTTGGAAAAATAAACTTGCTAAGAAAGGACATTCCAGGTGCTGTAAGGGGTATCAGCTGTGAGCACAGAGATATGGAAAACAGTGCAGTGTGTGTAAGAAACCCTTGGGGGGTAAATCAGAAAACCATGAACAGTGCCTTGTGTTTCTGGCACCCACTACCTGATGTGACTCAGGAATTGTCACCTGATCCTCACCTCAAATCAGGGCAAGCCTCAAGCCCCACTGGAGATGGACAGAAATCTCCCCCTCTCAGACACAGCAAGACAGTTAGCTTTACTTCCGGGCCCTTGGCCTATGGCTTCGGTCCACAGAGCAGCCAGGTGGGACAGACACTGCAGAATTCTCAGCTCTGTGCGCCTACCCGCAGTGTGTCTGTCCCTTCAGCCACTCCAAGCTGGCCCACAGGTGGCAGAAGTGCTTTCTTACAAGAATAGCACAAACGTTTCTTAATTGAGAATCTGAATAAAGGAGCCCACATGGAGGTGCCTCTACCCAGTGTCTTTTGTGGCTGGGACATCTGCTGCCATCTCCACCAGCCTCCTGGTGGTAGGTGGGGTCCCCACACCCAGGCGGTGGCCACTGCACAGGAAGTAGAGACCAGCCTCCAGTAAGCAGTTCCAATCCTACACCGGCCACTAACTGGCCTTGATTCCATCTGTCAGAAATAGAAAGTTGCAGAGTCCTTGCCCTGAAGTTGCCCAGAGGCGAATCTGGTGGAAGGATCTGACTCCTCTTCCCTAAGCCAGCCCTGGAACTCCAGGCCCAGCACCATCCACTGCAGCCCCCTCCAGGGGAAGAAATAAGTTTTTGATAACTATGTGTAATGTCTTGAAGGCAGGGATGTGGGGGTGTGTTAGAGCACAGACGGGGTTAGTATTCCATCTGCTAAAATCTCACACTGAATCTGACCCACAACTGACTTGCATCTTCCACGAGCTGCATTTTTACACCACATACACACATACGGGCGCATGCACACACACCCCTAGTTCACCTTTGGTCTAAGGATGCTATAAATGTCTAAAGAATACAGGGGCGGGGCAGACAGATCAGCTTCATCCAGATCCTGCCACTCTAACTGTGTGACCTTGGGTGAGTTGTTTTCCCTTCTCTGAGCTTCAATTTCTTTACGTTTAAACGGGGATGTCTGCCTTTACGACGAAGCTTCTTTGCATACTGCACATGCCTGTGCTTGGGTACACAAAGTACTAGGCACAGAGCCTCCTGGGGAGCCCATCAGTTCCCGCAATTGCCAGGTATTTTCCAGTAAGGCCTCCTCGGGGACCCCACTCTCACGCCAGTCCCCCCTTATGGATCCCGTTACTTTGGTCCCAGAAATTCTAGGGTGGTTTTGGTTAGGCAGGGGGCGATGCGCTCTGCAGCTCCATTGCTGTGGGGGCTAAAGAGCCCGTAGTTGAGCGGACACCAGAGGGGGGCGCCGCAGGGGTTCGCGGGGGACCGTGGCCAAGACAGGGAGCCTGTGCTACGGAGGCTTTCGCCGGCTGCAAATTGGAGGACCCCTGAGAACATGTCCCCAGTGGTCAGTAGCTGCAGCCTCCGCAGCACCCGCGGTCTCTGACCGTCGGAACCCAGGCGAGCCTGGCTCCAGTCACCCCCAGGTCGCCCCAAGCTAGCTCGTCAGCGCCCTCGGGCTGGAACAAAGGCAAGGGGACGCGCGGCATCGCCCCAGCGGCCCTTTCGTGCATCTGCCCAAAGCTAAGAAGACTAGGACAGGGGGTCCCCAAGGTAACCGGGACGCCGTGCCCGCTCTCCCGGAGCGCACAGCCCAGCTGTGGGAAGGGCGCGCGGAGCCGGGCACCCGGAGGCACCAGAGACTCTAGCCCCGTGCGCGCCGAGGGCTGCAATGGGCGTGAGTGCTCCCCGACAGTCACCCTGCGAGTCCCCGGAGGAGAGGAGAGGCTCGCGCCCGCCTCCCGGGCAGGGTTCTCCGGCGTACCTGGCAAGGTCCTGTGCACCGTGTTGCCCATCTTCGCTTCGGGTGCGAGGTCGGCGGCGGCGCGCTCGCAGCGCGCGGAGGCTAATTCCGCGGCAAGCCGGGGACCGGGGTCGGGGCCGGGCTCCCGGGCATTGCCGCTGCACGGGCGAGCCGGCGGGCGGCAGCTGGGCGGGCTCCGGGAGGGAGGCGGCGGCGGCGGCGGCGGCGGCGGCGGCGGCGGCTGCCGGAGGAGGAGGCGGAGCCATCGGCCCGGGCCCGCCGGCTCCGCCCCCGCCTCCACCGCCTCCAACCGTGCAGAGGCGGGGCCGCAGCGGCCGCCGCATCTTTTGAAAGTTTGCACCCGGCGGCGGGAGAGGTTCGGCCCGGCCTCCCGCCCTTCAGCTCCCGCGCCCGGGCCTGGAAGGCGCGCGAGGCAGCTGGATACCTTCCGTGCCAGGCTCGCCGGCCTGCTGGCCTTTCACTCAGACCCACGCCTCGAGAAACCTACCGTGTGTCAAGGCCTCTTCCAGGCGCCGGGCCACCATGGGCTATGGCCCAGCACCGGGGGAGTTCCCTGCGGGGCGACAGAAGTTAGCTGGGGTGGGGGAGCCGTGCATACAAGCAGAAGGTCACAGGGACAGTGAGGGGGTTGAAGACGGGCCAGCTAGGGTGTCCTGGGGGCGGGGACTTTTCTACTTTCTAGGTTGCAGGCCTGAGAGAAAACCTGGGAGGTGTCCAAGACCCGGAGGAGGGCACCTATATTAATTAACTCATGCAATCTTTCGTTAAAATTTTTATGGAGCACGTGCTATACATCAAGCACTAAGCTGAGTCCCATAGATAGAGACAGGGTGTCCACTGTCAAGGAATGGGCCTGCTAGCAGTGAAGACAGAAATGACTGCAGTTAAGATCACATAACACAGTGATCAAACCAGAAACTGGGGGGGATATAGCAAGATGGGGTTGCATTGTTGGGGGCTTCAGGAAGAATCCTGGTAGGGTTTTGCTTTGTTTGTGGGGGGCTTGGTCTTGGGGTTTGTGCGTTTGTTTGTTTGAGACAAAGTCTCACTGTGTAGTTTAGGCTGGTCTCAAGTTCACTGTATAGCCCAGGTGGAGCTTGGACACAAGACAATCCTTCTGCCTCTGCCTCTGAGGTACAAGCATAGGCCACCACACTCAGACTTTAAGGAAAAGTCTCTGGCAGGGGCCTGTAAACTCCACCTGATGGAATGGAAAGAAGCCATAGGAAGAGGTGGGGAGTGCTTCTGGCCGGGGCCTAGAGGCATTTCTCACTCATTCATTCACCTCTGAGGTCTTTTCTAACACCTGTCCCGTGTGGGTGCCCCATCCAAGCCATCCTTGAGCTCCATTTTACAAACTGAAACACTGAGGACCAAGAGGTACAAGGACTTGCTCAAGAAGACCCAGTTCCAGACCAGTTTTTTGGGTGCCACGGTCTGTCTCCCTGCTGGGAAGGGGCAGGGCCAGTCTGGAGTGCTGTGCACACAAGGGGACTATTCAGGAGACAGCCTCTGCTTTGGTTTTCCTGGTGCCCTCTGAGTGTGTGTCCCGTGGCAGAGGGCTTTCACCCTTCAAGGTCAGCTCAGGCGTCCTCCGTGAAAACACACCCAGAATGATCACATGGCTACATGGCTGCAGAGGTGCCTGGCATTTGAGTTACTAATTTTTTGCATTACAGGTGCCGTCTCGGTGATTTAATTTTTAACCTTCAAGTTCTGGTTGGGAAAGGTCCATTAGCTGAGGCACCTGCAATCCAGGTGAGTTTGGGGCACATACAGAGGTTAGAAGATGGCTGGAGCATTTTATTCAGAGCAAACAGAATGGTGACTTGCAGTGAGGCTGTTGCACACAGGCCTTTCCAAGGTCAGTTTCAGAATACTCAGTGAGGAGCAATGTTGTGCAGGTGACAGCTCACCTTCTCCCATGAGACCCCAGCTGTCCTGGCATGAAGCCACTGCACTGGGGTCCAATGAGGGCCTGATGTGTGGATTTCAAGGGTTTTCATTTAGTCTCTAGATCCCTGTGACTGAGAGATGCACTGAGAAAAAAAGGCTGCCACCTTCCCATCATGGGGACATTGGTATCAAAGCCACACAGAGAAGAATCTGAATCATAGAGTCTCTTGAAGTTTGAAAGTGGACAAAAGCAATCTTTCCATTTGTATTTTATACAAAAACAGTTTTAAATGGGGATGTCTCAGGAAATAAATATTAGAAATGGATATCTGGTTATTTTATCTCCACCTCATAAAGTTTATCTTATCCAACTTTGTTTTGTGTTCATGTGGGAGAGCGGGGGTGACCTTCAGCCTTTGTTTTTCAGATTGCCTTTTATTGGGCATATGCCGTGGTTGCTCATGCCTCTGAGGTCCCTCTGTACTTTCTCTCGTCCCTCACTTAAACCCTCAAGGTGGTGTCACTGATGCTTGGGCTGTTACCTTTCTGTCCTCTTCACTGCCACATGAAAAGCTCTGAGGACAGAGTTATTCATCCATGAACCCCCAGTGCCCATGCAGGGCTGCTCCATATACCTTTGGTTAAATTGCAGAGATGCCTCGCTCTGACCTGGGAGAAGACAAGAAAGGAAGAAGGAAAGAAAGATGGAAGAAAGGGAGAGAGAGGAAAGGAGCATGGAGGGGAAGAGAGAAGAGGAAAAGTTTGTGGAGGAATGAGTTGTAGTCGCTAAAGCCCTGCATATATGGCCCCTGGTATATGATCAAGGTACTATAAAAAATGGCTGGGGATGTAGCTCAGCAGCACAAGTGCCTGCCTGGCAAGTGCAAGGTCCTGAGTTCAAATCCCTGTGCCAAAAAAGAGAAGGAAGAAAACAAACAAAATATAAATATAGCTTTAGAACAAAAGAGAGACTTGCTGCTCCAGCACATGATGATTAGATCATTCTAGAAGCTGCTTTGGCTGTGGGTACTGCACTGGAGAAGGAAAACATTGCTGCTCCACAAAGGTGGGGCAGGTGGCTTTGGGAGAGAGGAAGACCTCGGTCACAGGAGGTGTATAAACAAGCTGTGTGGTTCCAGGCAGTGCTGCAGAGGTAGGCATTCGTACATCACCCATCTCCAGAACTTTGTGTTCTGGGGTGGTCATATGTTGAGTCCCTTCCACCCCCGTGAGCTACAAAAGCAGCTTGTGACATGAAGTCCACACATCCTGAGCATCTTCAGGGCCAGGAGAAATGCAGAACATCTTCTGTCTGTTGCATGGGTGTCAAGCTGATTTCTAGGAACATGACCCCTTTTGGATTCTCCACCAACCTAGTTCCCAAGCAGGGTCAGTTGGAACAGTTTGAACTTCTGGCTGCAGATGTTAGGGGGCCTGGACCCAGGCTGGGGGGCTAAGAGGAAGAAGTGTGGCCTTGGGCATCAGTTGCATGAGTCTCTGTGACTATGGCTATCATCTGAGTCTCTTCCTCCTTCAGATGGTTCAGTCACATCCCACTGAAGGAGGCAGCTCTACTGTTCTCATTTCTAGTGAAACATTGAGCCTCAGAATGGTGCAGTCACTTGTCTTTGGCTCTTTCGCCACTAAGAAGAGGCGGGATTTGAACCCAGGCCTGTCTCTCCTCAAGCCTCATTCTCTAAAGATGGCTTTCCAAAGTAAGAAAAGTCAGTCTACCTTGGTGCAAAGGCACAGGGGTTGGAGAAGAATGGAGGAGAGGGGGCTTTCAAAACCAGCCTCCGTAAACACTGAAGGATTCGTAGGGCCTTTGGGCAGGTCAGGGAATGGGGCATATTTGGGCCTGGACACTGGTCTCCAGTCTGAGCTGCTCCTGGGCTTAATGCACACACACACACACACACACACACACACACACACACAGCATCTAGCAGTACACAGAATAGGCCATCTTCCTTTGGTACAGCCCTCACACGTGGGCTGCAGGGGCTGCTAGGCACGTGTGCCTCTTGACTGCAGTGTTCAGGGAGCCCCACAAGCAGTGGGCAGTGGGAGGGCCTGGCAGGCTCCCTGGCACTGCTCCTCTGGGGTGGACCCTTGCAGGACCACGACCTGGACTGGTAGCCAGGTGCACCACATGGAAAGAGCACAGAGTGAGCTGGGGGGTGGGTAACCCCACTGCAGAGACAGAGTGGAGTGATCCGGTATCCCCAGGCACGAGCCCAGCCTCTTCCCCACACCTCAGAACAAAGAATTCAGGCTTTATAGACAAACCACAGAGCTTAGGTGTAAAATTGCTACAGGAAGACTCTGCTCTTTTGTAAATCTGCCTGTAAAACCTTGATTCCCAAACCCACTGGGTTTTTACCTGCAAAAACATCATTTTTTCATTGCTGGTTACAAAATGCCAACAGGATATGGTGGTACACTCCTGCAGTTCCACCACTTGGGAGGCTGAGGCAGGAGGATAGCCAGGAGTTCGAGACCAACCTGGGCTGCATAGTGAGTGCAAGACCAGCCTGAACTACATAGTAAGACCCTGTCTCAAAACAAAATGCAAACAAAATGTCCACCACATAAGGAGCACTAAGCTGCACCCTTTGCGTCCTTGTCACAGTCAACAGTGTGGTCATGACCTGTCAGTTCCTATTTTGCAGAAGACTGAAGCTCAGAACAGAGAGGAGCTGCCAGGATCACACAGCCAGGAGAAGGCAGAACTCGTGCCATTTCTACTTCTGTCTTTTTAACCAAGGAGAAAACAGGCTCAACAGGATGAAGCCACTTGCTTGAAGTGGCACAGCAATGAGCAATGAGCAAGGGGGTAGAAGTCTGACTTTATCTGGCTCAGTGCCCACAGTCTTGCTGCCCTGACTTCAATGAGCAAATCACTTTATAAAGAGATAGAATCTGGCAGCAATATACCTGGCAGCCAAGGCAAAAAGGGAAAGAAGGCTTACGCCATGGTGTTCTTTGCCCTGTTTGCAGATACATGCTTAGTCTAGTCCTGAAGCCACTTCCAAAGAAAGCTCCCCTGAGGAGCACAAGAAGAGAGAGTAGACTTAATTTTGTCCTGACTTTGCCTAATGACACATCAGCGATTTCCAGATGGATGGGTCTCCTGATGGCCGTCTGAAAAAGGTCAAAAGCTGGCATTTGCCTGAAACCTCATAGAGGCAGCTTTGCTAGAGGCTGGGGTCACAGCAGCCCTGAATTCAACCCTTGTACCACACAGGGGATGGAGGCTTGAAACATGTCACCAGCATGGAGCAGAAGCCTAAGGTAAAGCTGCAGTGAAATTAGCCCCTGGCCCTAAGGACTTGCATGTGCAGTGCAGTTGCTGATAATTACAAGACAGGAGTAGCTAGCGGTTATTGAGTGCCAGGTGCCTCTTCGCCCTTCAGATGTGCTAACCTTGCAGTAACCCCTGGAGGCAGTGCTATGTGCCCATTTTAAGGATGAGGAAAGAAAGCCCAGTGAATGTAGGTATCTTGCCCCTGGTCACACTGGCAGAGAAATTTGACTCAATACTTTAGATTCTGCTTTATTTAATCCTTGTAACAACATATAAACAAGAGAAAGAGTTCAGAAAGGATTAAGGCTGTTCCTCTACTCCCTTGGTTCTCATCTCTTCCTGCAGGGCAGGGGCTAGCTTCTCTATTCCCCAATGCATGCTAGGAGCCTCAGAGAGGTACAGCATCACGTCCAAGCCCACACAGCCAAGTGTAGCAGGACCACACTGTGACCCCAGAGCCCAGCTGTCCTCCCCTGGACCTCTCTGGTGACTGCAAGTTTGACTTTGCTCATGGAAAGCAGGCCTGTTTGGATTCATGTCAGAGTCTGATGCCCAGCCCTGGCCTGGCTTTGAGGTAACCCATTACTCCCTGCTGACTTCCTGAAACTGTCAAGAACCTGCCCTACAGGACATGGACCTCTAAGGAAAAATAGAAACAGTAGATTGTGGGCTGCTTAAGAGCCCAGACTCAAATCCTAGCTGGTTGCTTACTAACTGGGTGACCTTGAATGAGTTAGAGGTCCTTTCTGTGCCTCAGTTACTGCATCTGTAAAATGGAGCTGAAATTGAGTGGACTCCATCCATGGGATCTGATGCATGGTGAATGGTCAGTCTCACTTCTGCCTGCCCACAGCTGAGTGCCACCATTCTCTACAGAGAGAGCCTAGATGGGGCCAGGCAGGCTGAGTTTGACCCACCTTCCTGTCTGCATGACTTTGGCTGGATCATTTTGAGCTTCTGAGGCTACACTGTCTCCTGTACACTGGGCCTATCTACAAGCAGGCGGAACCCAGGCTTCCTGGCTGGGCACACCGAGTCCACTATGTTTTGGCCCATGCCAACTTCTGCAGCCAGAGCACCTGCTGAACAACTTCCTGACTCTGTGTCTTTGTGCATTTACTTAACTTCTTTGAACATCAGTTGCCTTGTCCATAAAATGAGAATGATCAAAAACCCTATTTCCTAAAAAGAATATAAACCTGGGATGAGATGACACATGGAAAAGCACTTGGCGTAGAGTAGATGTTCAATAAATGGATGGATGGATGAATAAACCCTAGGGGTCAGGGCCTTGGAATCAGCCCGTCTGGGTTCCTCATCTGGCTTCTCTGCGTGACCTTGAATGTGCTGCCCAACTTCTGTGGGCTTCACTTCTCTCAAGTGTAAAATGGGCCTCTAAGAGCACCAGCCATATAGGGTTACTCTGATTATTAGATGAGATTACACGTCAGGGGCTTATAACAGTGCCAAGCATGTGATAAGTGCTCAATAAAAAACTTCATCAGTATTATTAATTATTGTTGTCTCCAGGGACAGTTGCTCAGGGCAGAGGCACATTTCTCCTAGAGGAAGAGAACGAAGTGGGGACACAGCAGGCCCAGCAGGAGAAGTTGCCTGTCTTGGTTTTAAACACCATGTTATCATCATTTCTTGGCACCTCCACAGGACCAGGATTCAAATCCCAATTCTCCTTCTCCCTTTCCAGTGACTTGAGCAAGTTATGTCTCAGCAACCAGGAGTCAGTGTGAGACCAGGGTCATGCAGGTCATGCAACAAGGGCACTGTAGGTATGAGCGTCATTTGTGACCCCGGGAACATGAAAAGCTAAGTGTCCTTTTTCTCCTCCCTGCTGCCCCTGTTGTTTCTGGCCCCTGCCAAATCTGCTTGCTCCGTCACCCTTGGTCCCTTAATCGGGTGACATCCCAGGAGGGCTCTTTAAAACTCCAGGCTGTGGTTACTGCTGGCCCCTCTGTGTCACAGCTGGCATGAGAGTCTGGCGACCATGGGTGAGCAGCCACCCCTCTGAGCCACTGGCAAGGCCAACCCACCGCACCAAGTAGGCCC